TTTTTCTACCCACCCTCTCTATCTCTCTCTCTGTTGACTGTCTCTTTCTCTCTCTACTTGCCCTCTCATATTCTCTCTACCCGCCCTCTATCTCTCTAACTCTCTCTATCTACTTGACCTCTACGACCGTTTCTCTAATGCTTTCGGGCCACGGCAACGCTCGCTTCAGTTATGGTTAAGAGCTTCTGATATCTATACTAGTTACAAGGTTTTACTCTCTCTCTCTCTCTCAGTTGTTTTTCAAATGAAACAAGATTTTTTCTCTCCCACTCTCTCTCCCCTCTTTTACAATTAGTTTTTTTTTTTCCAGATTTTTACGACTCTCTCTTTCTGTTTGAGATATTCTCTCTCTGTTTGAGATAGGCTTTCAAATGTTTCAAAATTGTTTCCCACACTCTCCTCTTTTCAATTGGATTTTACCGATTTTATGAGGCTCTCTCTCTAATTTGGGTTTTTCAAATATTATATGAACAATTAAAGAGAGGAAGATAGAGAGAAGGCAGGTAGAAAGAAAGAGAGATAGAGAAAGGAGGGTAGAGAGGGTGGGTGGAGAGGGGGTAGAGAGAGCGTGGATAAAGAGAGTGAGAGAGGGGAGGTAGAGAGAGGGTAGAAAGAGTGAGAGAGGGCGGGGAGAGAGAGTGGGTAGAAAGGCATAAAAAGAGATAGAGGGTGGGAGAGAGACTGAAAGAGAAGAAAGGCATTTTAGTCTCAATTTTTTTGACGTTTTGACTGGAGGTTAAGTACAAGAAAAAACCGTATTTGTATATAAGGTGTAATATTAAAAGTATTGGGGGGAGGATATATGTAAAATTCATTTTGAGAGAATATCTACAATTTTCCATCAAATTATTACTATAACGATTTAATATCGATCTCAAAATTTTACATTTACTACTCTTTTATACCTAAAAATTAAATTTTTTTTGGATAATTATTTAAAAGTTTAATTTTTAAATACTACAATTTTATTCATTTAGAGAAAGAATATGGTTTTATATCGTCTTCTCCATGTAAAATGGTCTAAAACAAAGGTGATTCCCTCTCGAAAAGAGAGCAACCCACAATGCACACATAGCATGTTACAATGGCATAATTAATAACACAGTTTTCAGGAATAAGAATAGGTTTATGTCTAGGTGATCAAGATGGTAGATGTCATAATCTGATGTCTTGTATTTCATTTTTATAATAGTAGAAACCATTGGGCTACTGAAACTGGTCCCGCCCCGGTCCCCACCAAAAAAAACAAAATAGTAATAATAATAATAATAATTTTTCATAGAGTAAGCAACTGAATATTTTGAAAAATTTGTAGCTTGAAAATACTTAAATCTGCATGTGGCATGCTTTGTAAAAGTGCTTTATGTTTTATTTTTTATTTTTGAAGTGTTGACAATGGGAATGGAGAACAAGACATTATGTTGAAGCAATCAAAACCTCTCTCTCATATGCGGGGACACTGTTCTCTCTCCTTCCAATTCTGAGCCATTGTTATGGTGAGGTGGCCACGCTCCTCTTTTCAAGCAATGAGCTCTTGTTACTATGACGTGATCACACTCCTATCTCCCACCAATACTAAGCAATCATTACCACAAATTGACCACATCCCACCTCCAGTCATAAGAGCCTTGCAATGTTTACAAAAGTTACCGCTCCCCAAAAAGGTCAATGTTTCTATCATACCCCAACAACGAATAAGTTATTTGTGATTCCACTTCTTAACCGTTCGATTCAAATCAAAAGAATACGTTTGTTCATTTACCAATATCTTTCGAAATATTATTTTATTTTTTATTTTTTTCTACAATATTTTTTCGATAAAATTTTAGACATCCCATCATAAAATTAGGACGAACCTGAAAAACATAAAATAAAAATATTTTATGTAAAAGTAAATGACCAAAATACCCCTGATATTTGTAGGGTTATTTTGACAATTTTTCATCATCAAAAATATTTTATTATTATTTTTTATCAAGTGTGCCCATGTGAGATCTATGCGTGCCCTAAATTTTGCTTTAAAATGATTTATAGATTAAAAATTAAAAATAAAAACTCTAGTTAAAAATCAGTTGTGACATTGTGACTCAAACCATCTTAACTATCAACTCAAATCTGATGGCTGAGAATAGTCGTCATGGGTGGGGTCACGTAGAAAGCCTTCTCAAAAGTGTCATTTGGCCGTTTATCGGTTTTGCAGTATATGATGATGCATGGTGTATGGGTTTGAACCAGAGAGTTTCAAATCCAAATCACTATACCACCGCTTAGTCAAAATCCTTTTGAAGTATGTAATTGAAAGAAGAAAACCGTTGAAAAGGAAGCAACTATTATATAAGGGAAAGGGCAATAAAGTAAGAAGAAAATGCCAAGGTAGGGGTCAAAAAGTGGCTTGTCGACGTGATCATCCAACTAGATTAGATTCCCATGTCCCAAAGGGTCTTCCTTCAAATTTCGAAGTCAAATCCTTATTATCACTCCATAAGTTGTAATATTATTGGAAAAGCATAGTCACTACGTTGTGATTTCATAAAAAAAAATTAATTATTAAACTATTTGAAAAAAAAAGGGTAGAAGCTTGGCTTTCCCACTGAATTATCAAAAACACAAAACAGTACTATTATTAATTCATTCTAATTATTAGTTCTGATTCTTAAAATATAATATAAAATTCGATTGGAATTTGGATATAATTGAGTCCAATTAATAGCTAGATTTGAATGATAGAATGCATTAGTTATGATAAATATGATTGATAATGAAAAAGAAAAGAAATTACAAATCATGCTATGATGTGGACTGAGGCCTTTCTACGAGGTTTGTATTTGTAATAGATTTGTATTTGAATAAAGATATCTAGAGTAGTAAATAATAACAAGTAATATATAATATTTAATAAATTCTATAATATTATAATATTTATATATTTATATATTATAATATTTAATATATTTATAAAATAGGTGAGATTTGTATAAGGTGTCAACCTTGTACTATTGAAGTAAGGTGTACCTCAAAACTATACTGAAAATACAATTTTGATGTTGCAAAGCCTTGCGATAATATGAAAATCTAATGTTGTCCCCAATTATGAAATTTAAAGTTCTAGAAATAGTAACAATCAAGAAGATCTACAAATTATTAAAATTATTGAAAATGAATGGTCCATATGATGTGTTAGAAGATAAACTCAAAACTAGAAATCCCCCTTTTTTTCATGTCTATGAATCTTGAGGTCAAGATGAGCAATTTGAGAATTTTTCAGCATAATAACAACCATTCTCTAGTGGGTTTTTTAAGTGCACCTTAGTCATACAGGATATAACGTTTACACTGTAAACTTTTTCCTTATATAATATATAAAGGGTGCGGTTTCTATAGAGCCTAGGCTCTAAACCATCAAATTAGAACCTACCTTCAAATAGTCGAGAAATGTAGTTTCAATGCTGGAAATCTTTATAATAGCTTTAAAATATATTTTATATTTATTTATAAATTTTAATGTTTCAAAAATAGTGTAGATCAACAGATCTATGAAAACTTGAAAATATTGAAAATTAATGGTCCAAAAATACGTTACAAAATACACTATTCTAAAACTTGAAATCTATTTTTTCCTCATGTCTATGCATCTTGATGTCGAGATGATCAATTTAAAGATATTTAGGCATCAAAACAACCTCTTCTAGTGAAATTTTTGAGGTAGGCTCAAATTTGATTGTTTAGAGCCTCAGCTCTATATAATTTTTCCCATATATAAATAATAAGGAACTCAGTGTTATTTTCTAGACAAAACAACATCCGCGAGAGTGGAAAATGACATTGAACATATCATGTACTGGGTTGAGAGCATAATTTTTTATTTTTATTTTTATAACATTGGCTTGAGAGCATAATTTGACGTGGGAAAAACACCCATTTCAAGGATTTATCAGATCTAAAACTTCCACATTAAAAATCACCCAAAGTAATTAAAGATTGGTTTTTGAGTACCCAAACACCTCGGTCTAAGTATTCAACGAAAAAATTGATGGTTTGTGTACAAAATTAGGATGTGTATTTTTCATACAAGGTTGAGTGAGTTACATCAACATTTGAATTGTTATGAGATGTGATTTAATGGGGTTTAACTTGAGAGAGAAACTGTAAATTTGCTATTATAATCTAATTTCTTTTTCTTTTATTCTTTGGATATTGAACAATGGCTCAATATACTAGTGAAATTTTGCAGCACTGATCCTGATTTTGATCTCTCAACTCAGGGTTAAAAGAAACAGTTATCTGAATTGGGAAGCATTGATTTGGATCAGATTTAGCATGTCGGGTGAGTTCTCTTGCAAAATCTGGAATAATCTGGATTTCTTTTTGAACATAGAGAATAATTGATCTAGTCCGATCCCATTAAGATTCAATTTCTTTTTTAACATAGAGAATAGCTGATCCAGTCCGATCCCATTAACATTCAATACATGCCAGTATGGATACCAAAATGATGTCGGTTGTACGCCCAAATAATGGCCGAAACAAGCAAGAGAGTTTAAAATAGGAAAAGTCTTTCATGAATAAGTGGGTGCAAGGGCCCACTAACTCACAAACATCTACGAGATGAGCATTGTAAAAACTTCACAAGGTTTATACAATGTCATATGTTTTTTAGAAAAATCATAATTTAAATTTAAAAAAATTTATTTTATATTCATTTTCATGATCGTCCTAACCTAGATTATAAATTCCTAAAATTTTAAATTAAAACTCCTAGTTAGCATATAAAATTAGGAGGCACCCATTTGGGATGGCTTAATCCATGGTGCTAATAGTCAAAAGTCAAGGATGATGCCGATTGAGCTCTAGGGAAGACGCGTTTGCAGCCGTAAGTGTGGAAAAAGTGGCATTGCACTAGCAACTTGCGGAACCGCGCTAGATTCACACCACTAGGGTTCACATGCCACCCCAAATTTTCACTCCCTATAAAATGAAGCACGTTGCCTCTCCCTCCCTTCACGACTTTCAAATATCTTTCTCTCGATTCCGAATCGGGTCACCGATATAATATAATCGTTAGATTATATGGCGAACTTTCGTAATATCGTCATACTCTCTTTCATAGCGTTGTTGGCATGTGGAGTAAATGCACAACTTTCTTCTACCTTCTATTCCTCTTCCTGCCCCAACCTCTTGTCCATTGTGCGCACTGCCATGACACAAGCCGTTAATAGGGAGGCTCGCCTCGGTGCCTCCATTCTTCGCCTTTTTTTCCATGATTGCTTCGTTAACGTGAGTCTACATCATGTCGTGGTTTTTATTCTCACCCCTAATAACAACCTCCTAATGCCTTCAAAAAACTAACTCTTAATCTACTCGAAAAAACGGGTGGCAACCCTTACCGAATTACAAAAAAGAAATCTATGTTTTCGTATATGAAAGTCAATGGCTTGTGTCTTATTTCTCGTATGATCCTTTTTATTCCCCATGATTGGTTTGTAATTATTGGCTCGAGTCAAAAGATCCGGGGAAAAAAAATATATATATATATTTTTTGGGTGTAAAAGTGGGCGTCACACTCATTGTCCCCTTGGCGCGTTGGATGCATGCACACGTAGTGACGTGCACTTCTTGCAACCATCGATTTTTACGCGTCATGTGTTTTTCTTCTTTTCGACGACATACCCGTTGTTGCTTGTTTATAACAACAAAATATTCAATGATTACACCATATGCACATAGCAACACAAACACACGCTCGTGATGGAGCACCTGCCTTGGTAAGTTTTGGAACCAACTTGCCCTTTTGTTTAAAATAATGAGTTTATTTTTTTTTGAATCATGATTGAGAACTATGTTTTTAGATCAATTATATTGTTTTTGTAGTGATTTTGAGATTTTTCTCTTAATATGTTTTTTAAAAAAGTTTTTTATTTCTTGATTTTTTAAATATTTAAAGATATAAATCAAAATTTTAAATAATCCATTTTTTGGGGATTTTATGGACTTTAATGAGCTCTATTACTCATCTTCCTTTTCTCTAATCTTTTATAATTTTTAATAAGTTATTATATATATATATATATATATATATATATATATTACATGTCTTCATGTTACACTGCTTGGGCAAGTCTACTCAGACTCCACCGAGTTACGTAGCTCCTTTTAGAGCCGAGTTTTCGCTCAAGCCAAGTGGAGAAACACTTAACATCCCTTTCAACTTGAACACACACTCTCTCTGGAGGTGCCTTCGGATTTGGTCACTCATGGGAAACAAAACTTCCAACTTTTAGTTATGCACATGCCCCTCCCCCCCTCTCCCTCTCTCTGTGGCTCAGAGTGGTCCAGTAAGAGATTTGAGCTGATCATATAGCTACACTTGCTGCAGGGTTGTGATGCTTCGATCCTTCTAGACGACACTGCAAATTTCACTGGAGAGAAGAACGCGGCCCCCAATCGGAACTCCGCACGTGGCTTCGAGGTGATTGACACCATCAAGACACGAGTGAATGCAGCTTGTGGAAACGTAGTGTCATGTGCTGATATCTTAGCACTTGCAACTCGAGACGGAGTCGTTTTGGTTAGTACATGTTTCTTTCTGTTTTTTGGAGGGAAGTTGTTTTGCTACATTTTTTTTTTTTGTTCATCTCAAAATTATCTCGATGACTTCGATCATGAATTTATAAAGGTATAAATAATCTTTCTATCGTTTGGAGGGAAGAAGTTTTGCTACATTCTTTGCTCCTTTCAAAAGTATCTCTATCACTGCTATCATGAATTAATAAAAAGTATAAATATAATTTTATTTTTAAAACTAATTCAAAAATTAAAATTAAAATTTCATAGGTAGCAATTTTAACAATATCCCTTCATTGTTGAGGAAAAAATCATTAATGAATGCAGATAGGTATTCGAATGCTCAAAGGGGTTATTGGGAGATCTGCTAGATGGCCCAAATATAATTTAAAAATGGAACTCAAAATCAATTTTTTTAATGTTAAAATTTTGTTTGCCTTTTAAATTTTTTGGATTTTAATAATAAAATTTTGGAAACAACCCGCACCAAAATCATATTCTTTTTGAGAAGCACACTTAAGTTTTCAATTCCTCCATGGCCAGTCCTTAGCATAGATAAAAAAAGAGAGTTATGTTCATCAAAAAACTTTGTAACATTTTTTCATGAATCCTTAATCTAAATGATAGAAAAGAATTTGTGTAGGCAATCCTTAATAGTTGAGATAGGGCGTGGATGATGATGATGTCAATTAAGACACAATAGCATACCCAAAGTGTGCCTAGAGGTAGTTAGTTTTTTTAAAAATAATAATAATAATAAATAAGCTCAAAGACTATTAAGTTAAGGGATTATTGTTTAGTAAAGTTTAAAATATTGAGTAAATTACGTATATATCCAAAATAATTACTTAAATTACAAAATGATCCCATTATAGGCGGAAATTATAAGGAAGATCGGTCAACCTGTTTTTTTATTTTTCCAAAATTTCCCCTCAGTAAGAGGAACAGCATTTTAATTTTTTTTAGTTTTTTTGTTAGAAAGGCAGTGCCCCAAGCTTTAAGGGGAATGTTTAGGCAGTCGGAAGTTAGAATCCTCAAATTGCCCGGCAAATAAAACAAAACCCCAATAGAGCAGTCCGAGGCCCCCATCCTTGGAACGTTGTTTGTATTAAAAAAAAACGAAATAAGACCTCATATTGTTGTCTTTTTCAAAAAAAAATAAGAAAGAAAAAGCGGTCTGAGGATGAAGACCTCAAACTGCTCAGGAATTGGAACCTGCTAAGTTCAGAAGACGGTTTGAGGAGTCTTACCTCGGACTGCATGGGCATTGCCCCTAAAGCTTCGGGCACTGCCCTACTAACAGGAAAATAAATAAATTAAAATATGGTTCGAGGATACCATCCTCGGACCGAAAGGCAATTTTGAAAAAAAATAAATAAAATACAGGTTGACCAACCTTCCACGTAATTTTGCCTAAATTACCCATTTCGAATTTTAGGTAAAGTTTTCGGATCCATACATAACTCTAAAATCTTTTCTTTGGTCTTGGACATTTTTTTATGAGTTTATGGGGTTGTAACTAAGCTAGGGGACTATTGACCAGTAAAACTTCAATTAAAAAGTTCCTCTTTGTTTCTTTTGGATTACATAAGGGAGTCGCCTAGCATGGTTGACTATAGGGCAGAAACCCGAAAGGGTAGTCATAAACTCTTTTTTTCAAGTTTTTAAATCAATTGGGCATGGTGGACATGAGGCTCAGTCTTTACCTAACATTGTCTCCATTGGTTTGGGATGAAAGAGACACATAAGCTTGTACAAGACTGAGTCTTTACATCACTCCAGTCACAGGCAATTTCCTTCAAAGGCATTACTCCATCAACGTTTACCAATTTTAATGTAGTCTAATGTAGTCTAATCAGATTGTACACGATTTATTTTTGGTACGAAGAAGTTCGAATCAATTTTAGCCATGCAAAATTTAATAGATAAAAGTGTCTCAACATTCAAAAACTTTTATTTTAAACTTTGTGCCTTAGTTGCAAATCTAAGAAGCTCTAAGCTGCTCTGCTTCACGTACTAAGTTCCGATAGCATTAAACATATTCAACCACCCGATTCAAATCTAATGGTCAATGATCTGACCTCTTTATATTGAAAGTAAATGGTCTCATCGTATACATTTCCATATCTAATAATTATTCACAAAAATTTCTCAGATTATTATTATTAGGGTGCAGTTTGTATAGAGCTTGGGCTCTAAACAATCAAAGTAGAGCTTACCTTCAAATGGTATCGAGAAACGTGGTTTCAATATTGGAAATCTTTGTGATAGCCTTAAAATATCTTTTTTTATTTATTTATAAATTTTAAAGCTTCAAAAATAATGTAGATCGCAAGATCTATGAAAACTTGAAAATCTTGAAGATTGACAATCCAAAAATATATTACAAAATACACTATTTTCAAAACTTGAAATCCATTTTTTTCTCTCATGTTCATGCTTTCTAATGTCAAGATGGTCAATTTGAAGATATTTGAACATCAAAACAACCTCTTATAGTGAAATTTGAGATAGGCTCAAATTTGATTGTTTAGAGCATCGACTCTATATAAACTTTTCCATTATTATT